GTTTAATTAACATAAATGTGATGTATACTGATAAAATGGAGGTTAAAAGGGGCATCAGATAAGGGAATCCATTATCCCCTCTTATGTTTGTTATCACATGAAGTACTTGGATAAATTACTTATTCAAATGCAAAAGAACCCAAACTTCAATCATCACCTTAAATGTGAGAGGCTTTATCTAACTAATCTTACATCTGCTGATGATTCGCTTCTTTTTTTCCAGAGGTGATCTAGAATCCATAGAGTTGCTTGAGTCCACATGAGTGAAGATGAACCCTTCTAAAAGCAAAATTTACTTTGGTGGAGTTCCTAGTGATATTAAACTAGATATTTTGAACAAGACCTCTTACCAAGAAGGCTCTCTTCCTTTTAGGTATCTTGGGGTGCCTGTGACCAGTAAGAACGTTTCTATGATCCACTACATGCCTCTTGTGGATAAATTTTTGTGCAAAATTACTCACTGAAGTGCCAGTTTGCTGAGCTATGCAAGGAGATTACAACTTATAAAGAGTGTGTTGTATGCCATAACTTCCTATTGGATACAATGCTTTATGTTTCCTAAAATTGTGCTGCAGAAAATCAATATTGTGTGTAGGACTTATCTCTGGACAAGTGGTAGTATCATCAGTAGGAAGAGTCCTATTGCTTGGGAGAAAGTGTGTAAACCTAAAACAAAAGGTGGTCTTAACATAATGGATATGAATGTTTGGAATAAGATGTTCATTCTCAAGCTGTTATGGAATATTTGTGTCAAGGCTGAAAATCTATGGGTGCAATGGATTCATGGTTATATGAGTAGAACTACTAAACAGTATGATTCTGGGATATTTAAAGCTAATATGCAGCAGAGAAATTCCATAGGTGAAATTCATAGTCTGGAACTGTATGTTGCTGAATGAGAAATTCTATAACAGAAAAGTCTACCATGAATTGCTTCCTGAATTCCCTACTGTGAATTGGTACAATCTGATTATGCATTATAGAGCCAAACCTAGATCTATTATGACTCTTTGAATGACATGCCATGGAAAGTTGGCAACTAAATCAAGACTGTTTCATTTTGGCATGGTTAACAACAATCAATTCTGTGGTAAAGAGGAAACTATCGCCCATTTGTTTTTTGGCTGCATGAAGCTGAAGCAGATTTGGAGAGTTGTTCTAAATTGGCTTCTAATTGAGTGTGTTCCAGGTGAATGGGATGAGGAGGTAAATTGGGTTATTTTGAATTATCAGGGGAAAGGATAGAAGGCGGATTTATTGAGAATGACTCTTGCTGAAACCCTTCATGAAATTTGGCTATTTCGTAATGACATCATTTTTCGCAATAGTAAGGATGATAGAAATATAGTGGAGAACATCATTAATGTGATTGTTTATAGAGGGTGAATTAGTCCCAAGCTTACACCACACATAGCTACTTTGTTGTTGCCTTAAGGTTCATGTTTGCTTTCTTTGTGCAGTTGAGGGCTGGATCCTAATGATTGCCTTATATTATTATTTTTTAATTAATTTCATTTTTAATTCAAAAAAAATATTTATCTCATTTTAATTTTCATGTAGACGCACATGATATCGTTTAGCTAACCTTCATATTTCTAAATACTTAAAGAATAGACGACAATAATAATAATAATAATAATAATAATAATAATAATAATAATAATAATAATAATAATAATAATAATAATAATTAAATGATAATAATTATTAGTATTCAATTAATTTTAATAACTTTTCGTTACTTAAAAAAACTATTTAACCTACCATCATATTCTTAAATACTTATTTTTAATTAATTTATAATAAATATTAACTATTAATTTTTTAATAACTTTCCATTATTAAAAATCTAATACCCTCGTTTTCAATTAATCCTTTTTTTCAATTATTTTTGTTATAAAAAATTATACGAATATATTTAATATAATTTGGTAATTGCTATTAAATTAAATTATGGGTGGAAAAACAGGTTCGGCTCGTCGGATATGCTTATAATTATTTATAATTTTAATTTTACAATTTTTATTAATAAAAATGATAAAATAAAACATATTATACACCAAAAAATATATATTAGTTTAATAACAAATTAAAATTGATAATAATTTGATTAGATTTAATAAATTAAATAATATTATGTTTGTTAAATTTGTGTAGTAATTTAGATCAAATTTCTCCAAAAAAAAAAGTTTCATAATAGATTTGTTGTGATTTCTAACGTGACTAAACATGTAGCATAGCTTTATTTTAAAGATCATGCAACATAGCTTTGATATAATTGAGTAATTACTATTAAATCAGATATGAGTGGAAAAATAAGTTTGACCAGTCGGATATGCTTATCATTTTTAAAATTTTCTTGTAAATTTTTATGGATGTTATTGATATTATATAATTCTATTTAAGTTTTATAAGTCAACTAAGAAGAATGATATTTGACTACATATTTTGTAATTTCATGTGCTTGAGTGAGTAGATGATTTAATCTCATTTCACATTATTTAGAAAAAGCTATACATGTAATACTTTTATTAGAAGGAGTATATTATATCATAAAATTCGTATATGATTTTCTATAAATAATATGATATTTTTAAAAAAATCTAAAATAAATAATACTTAATTGATTAAATATTTTTTTATAGAATTATTTTTGTTAAAATCTAAAATGATAATGAATGATTCTTGTTATGCTACGATTGCTTTTCCAGATAGATAGAAAAACTTTTCAATCCTTAATGAAAGATATTACATACATTGTAAACTGAAACTTTATATAAAATCTTGTCCAAATAAGAATTCTTGAAATATATTAGAATATTTAATAAAAAGGTAATGTGGAGTTGGTTTACATGTTATAGCTGATAATGATTATTTATTATCTCTTCAATAATTTTCTTTAATATTAAAAAAAGTAATAACATAACATTAAAATTAGTATTAAAAGAAAATCATATATTTATTTAAAAAATTTGAAAAATGGTTATTCTCCTACACATGCTTTAGTAATAAGAAATATATATGGTCATAATTAAGAATATATATATATAAGTAGCTCCATTCAATCAAAAATATATATTTTAATAAAAAAAGTAAATAAAATAATTAAATATTCATCTACTCTTGTGTTTGTACAGATCATACAATTTCGTTAGAAATAATAAATAAATATAATATATTAATAATTAAAAAAATATAATATTTAAAATTAAAATTATCATATAAATATTAATTTAATCTACTCGTACATTCTTACGTGTAACACAATATCGTTATAAATAGTAAATTAATATAACATAATAATTAAAAAATATAAATAAAATCTATAGAGATTAAGTAGTCAAAAAGATTTATTTTTATAAAATAAATAAATAAAATAAATAAATAGCCTGTGCATTTGCACCGGATACACAATATCATTATAAATCTACTATAAGTAGTTATTTATAGGTTAATATATAGATATATAATTTATAATGAAAACAAAATATATTGGACTTAAAAAATAATTAAAATTTTTTCTTGTCCCTAAATGCAAAGAACAATAATTAGTTGTGGTTATTAACTGAGATTTATTATAACAATAAAAAGACTATTATGGACATGAAATTAAGCCTAAAGATGTGATTCAAATTTAATGAGAGCATAAATATTTGATTAACTAACAAAAATATAATTAATAAATTAACTCTAATTCTAATCTAACTATTAAAAAAAGTTAATTATTATCAAAATAAATCTACATTTTATCATTATTTTGATAAAAACAAATATTCACTCAAAAGAGAAAGCTCGAATTTATGAATAAATAATAAATTAAGTAATAGAATTAAATATGAGGAGATCATGAAAATTTATGATTATTGTATGATGTATATTTAAATATTAATATTATAATTATTTTATAAGATTAAATAGATAGTCAAGGTTAAAAAATTGTAATAAATAATTTTTTTTTTGCGAAAAATTTCTTTTAATGTTTAATTTAATACTTCCAAAAAAATAGAATATAACAATAAAATTATTTTATTAGTTTTAATAATTAAAATAATAATTAGAGATTAATTAGAACATATAATAATATTAATAATAATAATAATAATTTGGGACTCCTAATTCAATATAATTTTAGTTTATATTAGGTTAATTAATATTAATTATTATAATTGTTATTAAAAATTTAAGAATCAATTTTAATATTTAATGACAACTAAAATTTATTAGGTTGACTTTTCAAATCAAGGCTAAAAAAATAAAAAAATAAAAAAATAAAAGAAAATCATAAAGATCAGAAGAAGCATGAAACAAACAAAAGGAAATCAAATTCTCAAATTACTCTGCCCTTGTCTCAATATGTAACCACGATAGAAAACTTCATTCACTTTTCTGAAATTACAACAATCTTTTTTTTTTAAAATCTCACCGACCCAAGCAACACAACAACCCAAATAAGATGCATATGCATATCAGACAAAAAAATGAAATGGAAACAGAAACTATTATGGCAGTGGTGAGATGATTGTTCTTTCACGGTTTGTAAACATGAGTGGTTTGGATGTGGTTTGTTGAGGTTCCGATAACCACCTATTTTTTTGTTATCATGGGGTGAGTTGTGTAACAGAAGGTGGATTACAGTAGTGAAATGAAATTCAATTGGTTGATATTTTATAATAATCGGTTTTCAATATATCAATAAATTCGGCAGCCACTTGGCAAGTATTACCTACCCAACCTAAAATATAATCCATTAAATGAAATATCAACAAGTATTTAGATGACCAGGTCTTACAAAATCCCTAAACCATTGAACTTAGTAATCATAATTAATTATATCCAACTGGCTGTTAACTCTCCTATACTACCAGGTCAATATGATTAAAGAGCATAAGCAACAAGTGGCAATGGTCTAATGGATTATTATTATAATAGAAAATTAAAAGTCTTGTTATAGAGAAGAATTCAAGATAACAGAATTGAACAGAATTGAACAGAATCCAAAAATGGACAGCAAAAGCAAAGATAATAGTGATACAGATTCAATTAACAAGGTTTTCACTCACAAAGGTCGTTATGTGCAATACAGTTTGTATGGAAACTTGTTTGAAGTGTCTTCCAAATATGTTCCTCCACTTCGCCCAATCGGTAGAGGTGCTTATGGCATCGTCTGGTTAGTTTTGTTTATTTATTGTTTAATTAACTTGTTTATCCCAATAGGACGAGATCAGAAATACAAACATCACATACTCTTTTTGTTTTCTTTTCAGTGCGGCTGTTAATTCTGATACACGGGAGGAAGTCGCCATCAAGAAAATTGCAAATACTTTTGACAATATTATTGATGCCAAAAGGACTTTGAGGGAAATTAAGCTTCTTCGTCACATGGATCATGAAAATGTATTCTAACTTCAGTCATTTTATTTTCTGCTCATTATTATGCTATAATGTCTTGATGATGAAATTTGGTCACAGATTATTGCTATTAAGGATATTATAAGACCTCCACAAAAGGATGCTTTTAATGATGTTTACATTGTTTACGAATTGATGGATACGGATCTTCATCAGATTATTCGTTCGAATCAACCTCTTAATCTTGATCATTGTCAAGTAAGCTTTTCCATTATATTCATGTTATTGAATTTCAAGTACTTAGTTTTGCTAACATGTTTCTTGAATTCTGCAGTATTTTCTATACCAGCTATTAAGGGGACTGAAATATGTGCATTCCGCGAATGTCTTGCATCGGGATCTTAAACCAAGTAATTTACTTTTGAATGGAAACTGTGACCTTAAAATTGGGGATTTTGGTTTGGCAAGGACGACATCTGAAACTGATTTTATGACGGAATATGTCGTTACTAGATGGTACCGAGCCCCAGAGCTGCTCCTTAATTGTTCAGAGTACACATCCGCAATCGATGTTTGGTCGGTTGGTTGTATATTTGCTGAAATCATGACCAGACAACCTTTGTTTCCAGGAAAAGATTATGTTCATCAACTAAGGCTTATAACTGAGGTAAGTGCTTGGTGCTTCTATTGGAAGTATTCTAGTTACTCTATTGATCTAATTTTTCGACATTTTTCATTTGTAGTTTGTGTGTTAAGTTAATGTTTACGTATACATACTCATGACAAAGAAAATTACATGTTGTAATATGCATTTTGTTTTCCTTTTGCACAAAAAAGTTATTAGGTTCTCCTGACGATTCGAGCCTTGGATTTCTCCGAAGTGAAAACGTGAAAAGGTATCTTAGGCAGCTTCCAAGGTTCGGGAAGCAAAATCTATCGGCGAAATTTCCTCTTATGTCCGTCGAGCCTCTAGACCTACTAGAAAAAATGCTTATATTTGATCCCGACAAACGAATTACAGGTATAACTTGCTCCCGTAGAATGTAGTTTTGTGCATTTTTTTCCTTCATATTTATGCAGTTATTTCATTGATTTGCAGTTGATGAGGCACTATGTCACCCATATCTATCATCACTTCATGACATCAATGATGAGCCAGTTATTCCCATGCCATTCAGTTTTGATTTTGAGCAGCCATCATGCACTATAGACCACATTAAGGAACTCATCTGGAGGGAATCAGTGAAGTTCAATCCGAATCCGCTGAAGCAATAATTCTTTTTTATTTGTGTAAATGGAACAAGATATATCATTTCATAATCATTACCCTCCTTATATACATTGTCTGTTATTGTAAATTACAGAAAGTTCCCTTCCTTTTAGTCTAGTCTTAAACCATCTGAGGCACTATTTAAAATGGTTAATCATTAGTAATCTACTTGAATATTGCAAATTAAGAAAAGCTGTTGTGTTCATTATGCTAAAATAATTATTTTGATAATGCTTCGTTCAAAAAAAGACTAGCAAGTACCAAGTAGTTACTTTAGGGTGTATGTTTAATAATTTTCTTGTGGGTAGAGCTGTTAAACACAATTAATCCGTTATCTTTCTTAAGGCCTTAGTTATATTTGTTATTGTTATAATTAGCTAATTTTATTAACTATAACTTAATTTGTATATATAGAATCTAATACAATTGTACTATAAAGTTGAATAATATAATTTTTTTTTCTAAATATAACAAAATTTATTTTTAATTTTTAAATTTTATTTAACAATGAATGATTCTCATAATAATTTTTATTTACACTTTTGATCATTTTATTAAGGATTTTTTTTGTTGCAATAATTAGGTTTTGAAAGAAAAAAATTCACAAATAATTATGTTTCAAAAAACTCCACAAAGGAGGAGCCATCTCAATTGGCGCCTACACATTAATTTAAAGGGGAGACGCCATCTAACTTGGCGCCTAGGTGTTAAAAGTGTGCCCTAAGCCAAGTGAGATGGCGCCTAAGTGCAAAGGAGGGTCAATTTTTTTCGTTTTTTATGTTAAATGTGGGACATTACGTAAACGATATATGATCACGAAAATTCGACTTTTTATTTACACAAAATGATTATTACAAAACGATTACATAAAAAAAATTACAAAATAATTAGTGGTCCCCCGGAGCCCGGTAACGACCCACGATTCTGCATCCCCGTCCTCGCCTGTCCCGTGGTGGATTTCGTCGCGTTTCATGTTGTGTCATGGTCGATGGCCCAGCGAAGTCAATGCGTTCCTGATCTATGAAATTGGCCAGACCTCCATATCTAGAAGATCCACTTTGGTACAGTCGGTTACCCATAACCCTCAAAGTTTGGTCGTCTTGGTGGTGGGTGGGGTTCCATGGTTGGCCTATAACACTGGTCGTCTGAGTAAGGGAGGTAGAAAGGAAATGAATCCTGGGGTGTTTGGTATTTGGAATGTTGGGTGCTTTGGTGATATGGTGGTTGATGGTAAGTTAGGTCAGTTGGGTCATATTTTTCGGAAAATTCCAGATCAAGACTAAGGTTAGATGTTGAGGGGCCCATATTGGGATATGGAGAAGACTGGAATTGTGGGTGGGGCATGCGGGTGTGTTGATATTGTGATTGAAATTATGGTTGGGTGTGAGGCATATGGGGGTATTGGTATTGGGGTTGTGATTGTGGTTGGTTGTGGGGCATGTGAGTGTATTCGTATTATGGTGGTGATTGTGGTTGGATGGTTGTGGATCTGTTTCGTCGGGGAGGTTAGTGGGAGGTTGATGTGTGTTGTGTTTGTTGTTGGGGAAATGAAGGTTGTGCCCATTGTGTTCATGGGTCAACCAAATACCTTGGATGAGACACGTGCATTTCTGGGTTACTAATCAATCTGTACCAAGCTAAATATTGATCCGTGTGTCGCTTATTACCATGGTTGAGGAAAACTGGGAATTGCAAGACATGTCGGTGACGCCTCTGCCATATCTTACACCATTCTGGAGAAAAATCTTTCCAGTTGGTAAGACTCCATTGGGCATCGACTCTTTTGAGATGCCACGGGGACAAACAAGTTGGATCGCAGGGTATCTCTTGATGCATTCTAAACTGTATCTTGACACGGTCGTTGTGGTGTATCTCCATAACATTGAACTGTATGATTGCAGTCTTTGCGCTCCAAATTGCTGCATCCTCTCATGGTCCAAACCCAAATATGGTCTCCAGATAAACTATGGATAAAATTAAATCAGCTTAATGAAAATGTAATAAATAAATAATTTAAAGGTAGAAAAGTTCAAAGGTATGACGTACATCATCCGGGCCAAGGTGATCCAATAGATTATAATACATAGCGACATTGAATCTTGGATTCTTGCCGTAATCCATACCTGTCACGCAGTACCTAAAGGAATTGTAAAATAGTTTATTTTTATCATATATTTAGTGAACATGTGAATAATAAATGATATTCATTATTGACTTATTTTGTTGCGTATGAGAAAACGAATGCGTTGTTGTTGACGGGGTTTAGGGACTCCATTCTCCACCAATCCCAGGCTTGAAGTAAGAAAGCGCGTCCATAAAGAGTATATTTTTTCTTGATTGCATTTTTACACAAGGAACTGTATAGATGGGCTAAAACAACAGAACCCCAACTGTACTTTCTGGTTTTTTCAAAGTTTCTAAGTAAATTTAGATACATGAAATTTACACTATTCCCCGTACTTTCGGGAAATAAAAAGGTTCCAAAAAGTATCATTATGTAATTTCTATATTTTATTACTTTAGCTAGCTCGGAGGAATTTTCGTTCAACTCTAGAGTCACATAATGATTTTTGAGTCAACAAGTAGTATACCTTAGCCTCTAGCGCCACCACCTTCAACCATATCCTTTCCCAACAATTCCTCGCACAGATAATTGGGCTGTTGAATCGGCCCATTAACCGCCTTATTCTCCGAGTACTATTTATATTATGGAAACACTGCCGGCGTACGCCCCAGATGGTACTCAAGTCACCGGAAATGGAATATTCAGTCGAGTATTCTGGGCTTTTCAACCTTGTATCACAGGGTTTGCGTCATGCAAACCTATTATTCAAATTGATGGGACTTGGTTGTATGGAAAATACAAAGGCACGCTACTGATGGCAGTTGCACAAGATGGAAACAAAAAAAAAAATTAATTGCCTTTGCTCTAGTCGAGGAAGAGACTGGTGGTGCTTGGAGTTTCTTTCTCAAGAATATCCAAACACATATGGATCCTCAACCAGATATCTGTTTGATCTCCGATAGACATGCATCTATTGAGAGTGCATACAACAATCATGCGAATAGTTGGCATGACTCTCCTTCTACGCATGTCTATTGCATTAGACATATCGTCCAAAATTTCACGAGGGAGATCAAAGACAAAGCTCTTAGGAAAGCAGTTATGAACGCAGGGTATGCATTAACACAACCTACGTTCAAACACTATCGCAACGAGATCAGATTGTCAAATCCGGATGCAGGTAGGTGGATCGATAATATTTCGGTGGAGAAATGGACTAGGTTATACGACAACGATGGGGTCACATGACAAAAAATCTGATTGAATCCATGATCGGGGTATTTAAAGGCATACGAAACCTCCCAGTAAATGCTTTGGTTAAATCAACATATTTTAGGATGGCTTCGTTGTTTTCCAAAAGAGGTGAAATATGGAATGTTGTCTTACAATCGGGACAACTATGGAGTGAAAGTTGCATGAAGTATATTAAGGCAGAAAGTGCCAAAGCCAACACCCATCTGGTTATACGGTTCGACCGACACAACCACAACTTCATTATCAAAGAGACAATCGTCCACAATGAGAGGCTTCCAAGACAAGAGTATAGGGTTATACTACCTTCTCGTTGGTGCAATTGTGGCAAGTTTCAAGCCTTTCGTATGCTTTGCTCTCATGTCCTTGAGGCATGTGTCTATTCTCATCAAGACGCATTACAACTTCTATCTCCCATTTACAAGTCTGAAAGCTTGCTCAATGTATACAACAACAACTTCCCATTGGTAGCGAAACCTGATTATTGGCCTGCATACAACGGAGAAATAGTCTGGCACAACGACCAAATGCGAAGGAATAAAAAGGGTCGTCCCAAAAGAAAGCGCATCACAACTGAAATGGACTCACTGGACAAGCTAGAAAGAAATTATGGTTTATGTCGTCAGGTCGGATACAATCGCAAAAATTGTCTGACTCAGGCTATTAGCTCAACCACATAAAAATTGTATGCAAAACATCTTTAATTTTTTAAGTTATAAACATTACGGTTTTTCATTAAGAGAATTTGTTACAACAAACCTCGCGCAAACAACAATTAAAAACAAAAATCATCAACATTACAACATCGTCTAAGAAATTACAACCATTAAAACAATTTTATTTGACCCATGCATCATCAACATTACGTCTCCATCTGTTTTGACTTCCTCCAACCAAAAATTAGGTCTTCCTGTTGCAAGTGAGGTGGTTGTTCTTCTTCGCTGGATCCTTCTAATTTGTTCCCCATCCTCGATGTCTCCCTCTAGCCATCGCATCAAATCTCTCTTCAGACGCTCCATGGAGTGAATGTGCCAAAATTTCATTTTTATCGGAGGTTTGGTGGTCGAGAAAATAACATAACCATCTCTGGTAAATATCATGGGAGATGTCATGACGCAAATAACAGAGAAAAATAAGAAGACAGTGCGAGAAAGTGTGAAGAATGACGGAGAAATGGAGGACTTATTTATAAAAAAATTGCATTTTGCCTTAGGAGCCAAGTGAGATGGAGCCTCCTCTCACTTTTAGAGTGCAAATGCCATCTCACTTGGCTAAAAGAGAGAGCATGCGCCAAGTGAGATGGCGCCTAGGGCAAATGGCCTAGTGCAGGAAGCAACTAGGTTGGCTCCTCCTTTGTGGGGTTTTCTGAAACATGATTATTTGCGATTTTTTTTCAAAAGTTGGTTATTGCAAAAAAAAATTCTTCTATTAAGTGTCTTTAATAAAAGCTGACGTGACTTGACAACTAGCTAAATTTGGACACTTTCACAATTTAAGTGATGATCAAAGTGAATTTTATTGGACTAAACTAATTTATAGCATGGAATATGAATATTAATACATATTTGTTTTTTTGGAATACTTATAAAAAAAGTCATATTCCCCAAATCGTTAACCCTAAGTCACCCTTATTCCCTAAATTTTATCCCACATTGCACATATAAACGTAAAAGCCCCACTGCATCTTTA